CCCTTCCTCACAGGTGTGCAGACTATAAATACTGCAGAGAGCCATGTTTACAGTAACTGGGAGTAAAATTAACTTTAAAATATACTTTTGTTTGTAAATTACAATTCTATCATGGTGGAATAAGATCCCTTTGTACCTCAGAATTCAACGTCTTTTTCATTATCACTGTAAATACTCTTCTCTCTGATCAGAGGCATTATGAAAGGGGGTAAAACTTCCTTACAATGACCAGGTTTTAAAAATAACAATGCTTTGTTGTTTACTGTAGTGTACACAGCCCACAAACAACATGGGGTTTGTTTCTACATTTCAAAGGGAACTATTGTTTAAACAGCAGAAATGTCTCCTGAAAATACTCGTATTCCAGCCCCAGAACCCTTATGTCAGTATTACGACAAACTGATCGTAAAACACTGACTGAATTTTTTTGAGCACAAAAAGACAGTTATCAAGGATCACCAACTATTAATTAATACAGGGGGTCTAATTTCCTGTGATGCTAAGCTATTTGGATGCTTTGAGACGTGAGCTAGAGCCTGCTGAAATCAAGAGAAAAATCTTTTGTTTATTTCTCAACCATCAGATACAACTGAACTTGGCAATGTCCTTTCAAAGCGGTTATTAGGAAATACGTGCTGTGCCAAGTGTGAGAGGATAGGTGAGAGCACCAGCCCTTCTCTGCTCTGGGTTAAGACACTGGTATAAAATGTTTCCACTGTGGATTAAGTTCAGGAGCCCCCCTGCAAGCCACGCGTTGCTTTAGATGTCTGTTGTCCAGCCAGGCTGTGTGTATGTGTCATCTTGTCTCGGACATGTTAGCTAAGTAAGACCTCCGACGCAAGAAGCCCAGCTTGTGTAAGTAATGCATCTCCCACGGCCTCAGTGCAGCTCTGCTGATCTGCCTCAGCTGAAGGGCTGGTGCTGAGCTGTCCCAGTTTCAGTTCAAGCGTCTCTGGGAATCTCATGCTCACTGTGTTTCTTCCTTTCATGAACAGGCAGTTACCCACGACTGATATTGCAGTTTGAGCTGAGAAGAAATGTCCTTTACTTCATTTTGGAGACCTATGTGCCCTCCACGCTGCTTGTCATGCTGTCCTGGGTTTCTTTTTGGATCACGTTGGATTCGGTGCCCGCAAGAACCTGCATTGGTGAGTTATGGCCTGAGGAAAGGAGAAGATTTAAGCAGGCAGGGGAGCCTCTGAGTTCTGGGTAGACAGTAGTTTTCTTGAGCTCTCCGCTCAGTGGTAAGCAGTCTGCTCCTGTTCTGCTGCTACTTGTGGCAGAGCTGGCTCAGCAGCGTGAAGCGTGGAAGATAGACTGTGGCTTGCACACTTTCCCACCTGCAGAGCTGCCTACGGCCAAGGCTTCAGGCAGATACACAGCACAGAGCAGAGGACAGACCACACGTTCTTTGTAGCGTGCTTTGGAGAGGGCAGGGAGGGGAAGGGGGGATTTTTTTACTGAAAACAAGAAAAATTAAAAGACCCAAGTGCCTATTGGAGCCAAGTTGTTAAAGGCAGGGAGAGCCTGTGTGAAGTTAGTAGCTACTGCTACAAAAGCATTTCAGTTGATGGATGATTTGGATCTAGGAGAAAGAGATGTGCTCTGTCTGGCTAGCAATAGAGAGTGACAACGTGTGTAGACGGATAGGCCAAGCCTTTTACAAAGTGTCCACAAGTGAAGATCTCTCCTTTTCTGCTTTCCAAGGAGTAACGACGGTGCTTTCCATGACAACTCTAATGATCGGCTCACGAAGTTCACTTTCAAAAACCAACTGTTTCATTAAGGCCATTGATGTTTACCTCGGCATCTGCTTCAGCTTCATCTTCGGTGCCCTTGTGGAATATGCAGTGGCTCACTACAGCTCATCACAAAAGTGTGCAGCTAAAGCACCTCAAGAGGTAAAGCCGGACCTACCTTAGTAAGCATAGTTATCTTGAATCGACAATGATTAGTCCTCCATTAACTAAGACAAATTGTCTTCCTGTTATGGATACAGTAACAATTGCTTCTCCTAATTGTCACTAAATCTAAATTTTTTTGTGCAACAAATGCATGAACAGCACGAGGCTGCTGTGTTTCTGACAGAGTTCTATACAGCAGCCAAAAGAGCAGCCACCGTAGCTGACAGTCACGTTAGATTCATGGGACCACGTTCAGGAAGGCACTTTCGCCCACCACTACAACTGGGTCTGTAGCCCTGAGCTGAGCTCATGCGAGAGCAGGAAGCACCTCTGCTCCCCTCAAAGCGCAGCCAAAGAAGAGCCAGTTTAACACACCTCTTCGCTCTTCTATGGAATAACTCTGATTAGGACACTGGTCTGGAAGGTAATTTCCTCGACCAGAGGAGAGCTGAACCCTTCTTCCCACCTTTCCAGAACACAGCATCATCGGTCCCAAAACATTTGGGGAGGGGGGAGTGCGAGAGAGAGTGATTTGTTCAAAGTGCTCTGCTTTAGTAGGAGAAATCAAATAGTCAAGTATGATTATAGTCCAGTTGTCATCAATGGTCCAAATCCTGTCAGAGGGAAAAGAGATTTCCTACCTTGCTGCCAAGTTCCCCAGCCGTTAAGTTATTGTGGAGATGTGAAGAGATGGCTGTCTTGTAGGAGATGGATGTTGGGTTGCCCGGTGACATAAAGTGAGACTTTCTCAAAGATCTCAAAACACTTCTAGGAACACAGTGGCGGAAACACAGGCATCTCTGGGACTTCAGACACTCCTAACAACAGGCAGCAGCTCAAAGGCATGTTTGAATATCAGGATGAACACATGTGCAGCTGGGTTCTTTTATCTTTATCCTTATGGTCCCCTTATTGATTAAAGCATTTTTCCCCTGCAGGCAAAGACAAACCCTAAAACTAACTGTACTCTCGTTTCCTAGGGGCCTGCAAATGAGCTCACTAAAGAAATGGAAGAAGTCAACATCGCTGACATCCTCAACAGCTCCATCACCAACTATAAACGGAAAATCAGCTTTACAAGCATTGAGATTTCCACCGATAATGTTAACTGCAGTGACTTGACTGTGAAAACTCATGAGAAAATCAAACGTGTCTTGAGAAACAAAATGCACAGGATTATTGGTTATTTCACAATTCAGAACCCCAGCAATGTAGACCACTACTCCAAATTGCTTTTCCCTTTGTTTTTCATGCTGGTTAATGTGTTTTATTGGGCTTATTACCTATATTTTTAGTAGAAATGAGCAGCGAATGCAACATGGACAGAATGCTCTGTTGTATTTCCCGAGGTACAGAGCAGAAGAGTGCGTGAGGTACGCAGGATGCAAAGCCTTGGTGCTTCAGCACTAGCAGCGTTGACTCTGGACAACTGCTTGTTCAGCTGAGTGGCTGTGCTGGGCTCTTGTGCTCGTACCCGCTTTTCATTTCGGCATCCGGCCTCTCACCTGGCCAGAGACAGGTGCGTAGGACTGCACGTGGCAGGCCGCAGAGCACTGCAGGTGGCCAGATTATCTTGGAAGTCTGAAGCGGGTTGGAACCTTCTAGTTTCGACCTCCAAGAGGATGTAGGATTACAGCTGTTGTTCTTTGTTTGCCAGAGATAACAGTAACAGAGGGGCTGTGATGGCTGTCTCAATAGTGCCTCTGTTCACGTAACAGAACCCGATGGCACCAGCGTGCCGTGCGCAGGGGAACGGCTCCCGCGCGCAGTGCTTCCTTGTCCCAGGGGCAATGTGGTGCCAGGCTGGTGATTTCAGTGCTGCTGGCATCGGCGCAGTGGTAAGGCCTCAGTGTTTTTAATACCTGTCACTCTCGCTGAAGGTATCCACCCCTGAGACAGACGGAGGGCTTTTTATTTGTAGAGCAGCATTTTGTCAGAGATTTGGGAACACGAAATACAGGCAGGTTGTAACCCATGTCTTATGCTCTTCGTGTCGTGCTGCAGTTGAACAGATTGTACCACCTTCCACGTCTTCCTCACAAATTATTTTTCATCCTGGAGAGTGCCTCCGCCAGCTTCCACCGCTATAAGCAGCTCTTGTTTCTTGCCAGATGTGCATAAGAGCAGCTGATTTGTCATCCCCTCTTTTGTGAGGCTGTGCAGCTGTGGCAAGTCAGCAGTGCTGCTGGGTGAAAAACCCATGCATGGGCTGAGGTACGATGGCCTAAATCAGCCTCTCAGGCTCTATTTTAGGCTGAAACGCATTTCATTTCTGCAGAAATTCAGGTACGAAGTGGGCTCTGGAAAATGCCAGTCAGCTTTGTTTATCCTGCAATCAGCAGGACCGAGAGCTTTGTTTTAAAAATAAAGTATGTGGCACCCACACACTTAAATTTGAGAACCAAATGCTGTTTAGTACTATGTAACTTAAGGCTGGAAGTCTTTATTTCCCGATTTTAAAATGAACGCTTTACACATTTTACAGCAGATTCCATCCCCCCACGCCCCCTTTTTTTGGTCTGTGCAGCTTTCATAACTTTGAGGGTGTAATCCTGCAGTTATTTAG